TTTCAAGATTTTTTTTTTTTTTTTTTTAGCATGCATTATTGATCTTACTGTAACACTTGAAATGCAGTAGATAAGATATCCTGTTAGCGTTTTTTATTTTCTTTCAACCTTTCCTTGCTGATATATCAAATATATCAGGAATTGTATTTTAATTGTTTCATACAATATCTATTTAAATGTGAATATTAATTTAAATAATACATAATTCAAAAAAAAATGTATAGAACATACATTAAGAAATTTTAAGAAAAGTTAAGTACGGTGGTGATTTGCCATCGATGCTAAAATGAGTGGACATAGATAGTAGTGGCTGAAAAAGGCTGGAGGCGATCAATAAAATAGTGATACAATAAAACAAAAAACAATATTTCATTGAAAAAGCCTAGCCACATGGAAATTGTTTATGATCAACAGTGCTAAAAGTTATCAAATTAATGTTTAGATCAACTTCAGAGTGTGACAATCAAGTCACTAAAGGCGTTTTTGTGAGTTCATCTAAGGTCTAAAATGGAAATGTTAGTTGTGGATTCATCACAGGTTTACAATAACAAATGTCACTGCTTTGTAAATATGTAAAAATAAATCACATTTTTCCATAATGCTCATAGGAGATGCATTGTTGAAAGAAATTATTTTTTTTTTTTATTCAAAATTATTTCAGTCTGTAGTCGCAAAAATGTACAGCGTCAACACTAGGTGGGTGGTCTGTATGAAGTGTGAAAAAAATTTAAATAGAATTTTTAAGCGTTAATTGTACTCCCCTTCTTAGATTTATTGCAGTCAACCTGTCATCTTTAGTAAGATAATGACTAAGAGCACTGCACATCTGGAGGGATGCCTAGGTGCAGGTTTATTCTTTTTACCGCACTGGGACTGATTGTGTGATTCTCAGCTAATATATATGGCGATTCAAGATTTGTTGACCTGTATGGAGAAATCAAGTAGGAACCTAAACTAATCTCAAATGTGTAGCCCTTAAGCTAACAAGCCCTTATTTTTACCAGTCTGTTTAAGGAGGTGAGTGCAATGGCTGTCAAAATACCTGAAAAATCTGATTGGATGCAGGCATTGTTCAGGTGTTTTGAGAGCCAGCGGGGCCAACTAGCAAGATACTATATCTTGGCCCAGGTGGAGATTACTCCATTCACACAGTTTAGCGTAGATGGAGGAATCTGTTGCACTTTTTCCATCTGACCATAGAAAATCTGCAGATAATCTATAGGTGTATGGCCAGCTTTAGCCTACATTTGACATTTGCTAAGAAGCTTCCAATGGAGTCCTGGATAAGATTGTCCAGCAGAAGTTTAAGTTTAAACTGGCTTGGAGTGCAGACCTGGCATCTAACTCTGATTTTAATGGTGGCTTCACTTTTTTGAGACTGATTCCTGGGTTGGGAGTTAAAGTCCAAGAATGTTAGCTGTATGTGCTTACCCTAGGAAATTGGTGGCTATTGAAAATATAATTGTGACTACTAGTTTGGTGGCACAGTTTAAAGGTAACTGTAGTTACGTTTGACTTTGATATACACTTTTATTCATTTACAGACAGTGGCTTACAATTCAGAAGCTTAGAAGCAAAATCAAGAAAAAAGTAGATACCAAAGCAAGCAAAGGGAGAAAAGTGAGGTAGGTATCACCTTGGCAACCAAGTGTACCAATACATTAACAAATACAGTAATTGTATTATTATTAACTTCTTATAGCTTTTGCATTGCATGTGTTTAGACACCCCACAAACTATTTTAAGCTGCTATCTCTGTTTTATGGACATTTTACACTATTTGGCGAAAAGGAATACTTTATTGCGTGAATGTATGATATGCTTGTTTGTTTTTGGATGCACTATTTATAAGTTAGTATTAAAATAAATTCTCTACACATTTTAAGGCCTGTATCAAGAAACAAAACCCTTGTCTTGTTCTCTGTGTAGCCGTGTCATGGCAGGCAGCTCCTACTTTAGTGACTCATCCCATTATTCTCGCAGCAATAAAATGGGAACCTACACATTCATTAAGAATTAAAGTGTTTTTACCCTAATATATAAATATACTGGTAGTTTTTAGCCTGGTTGGGGTTCTTGTTTAAGGGTCTTTAGGGCACCAGCAGGAATAGCTGCCTCTACCATTGGCAGACCTGATGGTTTACCGAAGACCCCACACAACTGTTTGGGCCTTACCACCACTCAGCTGTTTTATAGGGATGGTTGGAGCGCTCAGCAGGATTGAGTGGCATAGCTGCTCTCCATAAATGTGAGAGATTCCTGTGATTTCCACAAGAGACAAAAAGGAGCTCCTTTCTGGTGGCCTGGCTACACTTAGGGTTCGTATCAATGGGCCTTCTAGTCAAACTTTGCATTTTGCATTGGAACGCACACAGTTGTTTTCAAATGGAAAACATTGTGTTTGACCTGCTTTGCCTGTAGTTAAAACATACTTTTATAGGACATTCTGTGTTAAAAAAACACAACACAAAGCAGCAAAACGCCTATTGACATGAGCACTAAATCTGTTTTTCCAGTGCGAAGAAACGGGTTCCCATAAGTGCTCCACTCCCCAGCTGTATGCTTTCCTTTTGCCTCTCTACCGCTTGTATACGGCCACAAAGAGCAAAGAGATGAAGCGCAGTATCACAACTTTTTGCCTATATAAAGCTAATAATTTTCTCCTTGCCCTGATGTGACAGCACTAACATTAAAGGAGGGTGAGTGAGCCACATGCCTACTGTATACCTAAGCACTGGGCATTTCTCTTTGCTGTTGACAGCTGACCAAAGCAAAGATAAGATGAACATGTGCAGCCGGGAATGGTGGCAATTAACTGAACTTGTTTCTTTGTGTTGCATGGGTAAAGAAATAGGTTTTTATCTAAAATCTGTTTACAGGACATATATTTTGCCTGGGTAGTCCTGCCACACTTTGATGGGAAAACTCTGTAAGTAAACTGATTTTATAAATCCATATTTGCAGATAAAGCCATTTCAGTCACTTTGAAAGATAGTAATGTATTGTGCTTGAGATATGACCAGTCGGAGTTTTAACAGTTAACACATGCTCCAAAGCAGCCTTCAAGTAGCTCTAATCACAGAGATATGCCTGAATGATAAAAATGATGGTTGGCAGTGTCAAAGACTGTGCAAGCTCATTCACGCTGAGGCTTTTTAAGAGAGTTTCATAGATGGGATTTAGTCTGAGTAGGGTGGTTTTGACTCTTTTACGACAGCGGCCAACATCACTAATAAATTTTTTCTGACGTAGCCGCACTTGTATTGAACTCTGCAATGCCACTGTACTATTGCTATGATTTTTCTGCTTGCAACTTTAAAGTATTGCTGTTCCATAATGCCTTAAAGACTATTATAAATAAATCCCATTGTGTATCTAGCAAAATGTTTTTCTTATGGATAATAATACAATAAGGAACTGGCCAATTGTGTGCTCTAATTTAATATAATACATTTTCATACTGTTAAACTGTAAATTTCTGATCTTGAAATAAAAAGCCAGGATATGTCAACATCCAGCCTTTAGTTGCAACCACCATCAGATAGAAAGTCATGCAAACTAGTCTGGGTCAGTTGTGGCATAGTAATTTTTAAGATTGATGTTCTTGGATAATTTATTAAAAGAGGAAAGAGCTGCTTTGTTGGCCTGAAAAGCCTGTAATTATTGGCTATCAATATTCTTTTCTGTCAGCATCACACATAATTGGATGTATTCATGATTCAGTCAAAAGCCGCTGACAACATCACACAACTGAGTCACACTCTCAAAGCTTTTGAAATAATGCAGCCCCATCTCTGTGTGTGCGACATGGACTGTACTCGTTCACTGAGATCAAGGCCCTAGCATGGCAATCTTATTACCCAGCTCTAGATAACAATTGAGCAGACCCAGCCAGATCATCAGCAAGAGAGTTGATCAAAATGTTCAATTACAATTTGAGCGAAACATCCTTCCTTTGTGAAAAGTTTAAGCATGTTATACTTTATATCCAGTAAGATGCATATAAAAAAAATGCAAATACAGAATGCCATGGATTTGCTGATTCTGTTTTGTGACCTACAATGGTAAAACTGCTTTGCGGCATACCCATGGAAATGTATAACATTTATAACACCAAACCATATATGAATTTCATGACGGAATGTATTAGCGCTAGCTCATTTCAAGATTGAAATGGAACACGTCTGTTTATAATTTTATTGGAAGGGTCCATTAGTCTCCTGCTGCTTACAGTATGTGTGTGATAATTTTCACAAAGCTATTGTTAGTGTGCATGCGTGTCCTGTTGCCGAACTATACATGTGACGTCACTGGGGTAATCGTTTGCAAAAAAACCTGTCTAACCGCTAAGGTTAAAAACAGAGGTGTAGATACACGTCTTCTGCAGAATGTGTGAAAGCTGCACCGCCTCGTCAAGGTACCTCTATGTAGTGCGGTCCTAACTCTAACCTATGAGAGTCTCCATCTTGGATCACATGCAGCAAAATATAAAATTGGGTGCAGGTTTGCCAGGAGGCAGCCCAACCCCATTTTAAAGGCACAGGGACACACAAGGGACCTGGAACATGCCCTCAATTTGTACATTAATTGTACAGAGCGGTCATACAGAAACTTAAGCCAGTAGTATGTCTTGCAGTGGTAAGTTTTAGAGGTTAAAGGAATACAATTAGAATTTTATTCTAAAAGTTAGTATTTGTGTTGCTCTATACATTTTCTTTCATCTGCCAACATTTATATATTACCTGCCTTTTCAGTTCTTATTTTTTGGAGCACAACAGAAAGTCCTTCTAGTTCAGCCTTTACTACTGGCCCTGCAAGCACCCCCCTGCTCGACAAAAGTCCGTTAAAAGGTCAATTATCTTAGAAACGAATTATAAACTGTGTTCCCGATGGTATAAATCCAAAAGTAGTCTCCAGCACACCAAAGCATATTCTGTCATTTCTTCTTTATTGACAAAATAAAGGTATGTCACAATGTGTAGCGATGTTTCTGAATCATTTAGTTTCCAGTCCCTTCTTCAGGCAAACAGAGCAATCTTGATGGTATAAAATCCCTGTAGCTCTCCACCACATATTTCCATCTATTCCAGACAGTTGCTGGAGATGCTCTGAAGCGGCCAGTACTCTCTTGCACATATGGTGGACTTGCCCCCTCCTTATGCCCTTTTGGACAGACCTATGCGATCTTATTCCGCACATTATAGATGCCCCTCTTGATTTTACCCCTACCTCTTATTTACTCTTAGCAATTAAATAGAAACAAATATGAAAGCGCACTCCTAGTGTATGAACTCGCTGCTGAATTGTATACCGTAGGGAATGGTGTGCAGAGCTCTTCAAAGCAGGGAGAGGAACCCTGTGAATTACAAATAAAAATTACAATGTACTGAAGAGCGCAACTACCTATGTAAGTGCTGGAGAGCCTGGAGTGGCTGGCAAAGTAAAATGAAGTGAATGATATGTGACTTACGGTTGGGATGTCACCAGACGTGCCTTGAAATCCCCAGTGCTATGGCATCAGAGGTCTTGTCGGGTCCGCGGCAGGTGGTGGATGGCTGCCGTGCCGAATCTGGGATGTCGGGTCTGTCGCCAGCCCACGTACTTGGCTGGCCAGGCCGAGCCGCGGCAGCTGGAGAAGGAGAGAGGTGAATGTCAGTCGGCTGAATGACACACCTAGCCGTGTGTCTCTGCGCCGTGTTCGGGAGGACCGTTAGGGGTGCGCTAAATGATGTGAGTCAGTGCTTGTTGTCAGAGGGAGATATGCTCTAATCTGAGAGACACAAAAGCAGGGTTGGCGGTAGGCTACGCGTTTTGAGGGTTACCCTCTTTGTCAAGCCATGGAACGATCTTCTTTACTGTTACATTTTGATGCTTCTCTTCATATTTCTAAATGATCGCTGATGCTACATTTACTGAATGCTTCAAAAACTGTAATCCCTAGACACTGGAAAGCGTTAATTATGTGGCAGACATGGAAGAACTCATTCATTCCAGCAATGACACTATGACTTGTTACTTTATGACCTGGACGAGATGGCATTTGTGTAAATACACTGATATTTATGCAACCTTGACTGCCTAACTCCCCAACTTTTGCTCCTTCTTGACTTTCCTGCTCTATTAATCAAGTCGCGCTTCCATCAAATCTTTCTTCTCTTCTTCATCCAGCCCTACTTCCCCTTCTCTTTCTTTATCTCTACTCCCTTTTTTTCCCCCCCGTGCTATCCTTTTCATTTTGCTCATATTCCCTTTTCTACATCATCTTATTTTGCCCTCTTTGATAGTCTGCTAATAGACTCTTAAAAGAACCTTATCCTCCCGACCTCACTTCTGCAAAGCTCTTCATTGCTCCCACGTCTTGGTGGTTACATGTTCTCTCATCACAGGGGCCTAGGGGGTTATTCGCCTAGATGCCAAAGGCAGCCGTGTGAATAACCGAGTAGAAGTGAACTGAGCTTAACGGGGTTCGGCTATTCACTTCGGCTCATATGGCTGATTCCAGCCTTACATCGGCTCTACATGTTCGGCCGAGCTGAAGTGCGGAACCCGTTTGATTCTTCTCTGCCGAAGCTCCAGCAGTTCACTCGCTGCCATACGTCCCTATTCTCATAGGGGCCGAACAGCA